CAGTGGTTAAGTCACTTGACTTTGGTTTATGGATATTCAGTGTTCAAATCCTAATGTGAACATCTGAGCAACCTCAGTTATAAGAGATGTTCTAATGTGGCCATGAGATGGAGACAGGTGGAACAGTGAGGCTACAAGAAGCGAGGTCACTAAGGTGCAGGACTTCAAGTACTTGGGGTCCACTGTCCAGGAAAATGGGGAGTGTGGTAAAGGGATAAAAAAGAGAGACCAGGCAGGAAGGAGTGGATGGAGAAAAGTTTCAGGAGTGATTTGTGACCAAAGGGTGTCTGCAAAGGTCAAAGGAAAAAATTACAAGAAAGATGAGAGACCAGATATGTTGTATGGTCTGGAGACTGTGGCGTTAAAAAGACTGGAGGAAGAACTGGAAGTGGCAGAAATGAAGATGTTGAGGTTCTCTTTAGGAGTGACAACGATGGATAAGATTAGGAATGAGATAATCATATTACCTGAGCCTAAAGAGCTCAGACTCCTACAAGGTTGCATTTCATCAGCATTTCACTCATACTGCATATTCTGGTCCCAAATAATGAGAGGTACAGCACAGGTTGAACAACTGAGAGATAAAGTTAGAGAGGCCAGACTGACATGGTTTGGACATGTCCAGAGGAGGGACAGTGGGTATATTGGTAGACGTATGTTAAAAATGTAACTTCCTGGAAAAAAGACAAAGAGGAGATATATGGATGCAATTAAAGAGGACATGAAGTAGGGGTGTAAATCACCAGCGTTACCATAATACGATATTATATTGATTTGTTTGTATGATGATACGATTTTTCTCAATATCACAAAGTCTGTCACGATACAATTTTGATTCTATTCGATTCACAAGGTTGTGATCTATATATTGCGATATCAAATGCCCATCTCATTTACATATAAATAAATCTACAAAAACAATTCAAATATGATTTAACCATTTTATTTCTGTTATTACAGGCACCGAGAATAAAAAAATAAAAAAATAATTAAAACACCTTTTTTTTCTTAATTAATGAAATTAAAAAAGACCTGTTCTGTATTGTCTCACATTTCTCATGTGTAAGTGCATTTTTTTAAACCAGTTAACTTAAAAGTGCCCTGATTACCTTTCAGTTATAAAGGAACAAAAATAGATATTGAGCTTATCCATAACATGGCTATCAATGCCGTGTTTCTTCTTCAGGTGAACGGCCAAATGTGTTGTGTTTCCCAAGAATTTTATCTCACACTGGCACCTGTTGCATACGGCATGAGTTTTGGCTGTTGAGCCGTCCTTCTGTTGGAATCCAAAATATTTCAACATTATTGATTTAAATCCAGCAGGAGAGTGAGATTCATTATTTGTGTTTTCTGCCTCGTCTGCTATGAGGCCAGCTGCGCACGGAAATGGTGACACAGATGTGCCTTTGGAATTTCCAAATTAAAGCGTATTTTAAAGATAACAATATGAATCGATGTTTAGTTTTACCACAATATAATTGAATCATTAATCATTTAATTGATATATCAATGTAAATTGATATATTTGTTACACCCCTAACATGAAGGTAGTTGGAGTGAGGAAAGAGGATGCAGAGGACAGAGTGAGATGGAGGAGGATGACTCACTGTGGCGACCCCTGAAGAGGGAAAATCCAAAAGAAGAAGAAGAGTAACCTATTTATAAAGCATTGTGATTAATGCTCAATAATCCAAATGGAAAAATCCAACAAAATTATGTCAGGTCCTCTGGACAGTTTCTGTTTGTCTTTTCTTTTTTTTTTTTCACTCACTAAACTTTGTTGGATTTTTGTACCTGGATTAATAAGCATGAATCACAATATTTTGAACCACTTTGGCCATAACAACTGAGTCAGCAGGGGAGAGGGTGGACTCCAGAAACCATCTGAGCACCATCAAACTGGTTGACACACTATATCAAGGTGCTATTTATAAGTCTGAGTTCGCTGTGGCTCCTCAGACTGATGAAATGTTTCAACAAAAAGTACCATCCAGAGGACCTGACTTAACTTTGCCGGACTATTTATAAAGCATTTATAAATACTTTATAAAGGTGCTTCTATGGTAAAGTGGTACCAAATAACCCACCAGTCTGACTCACTCCAACAGTAAGTTGTCATATATTATACAGACTGATATGAAATTTTAAACTTTTTTTCTTCTGTATTCAAAGAAGTTTTAACGTTTTCCTCCTAGCTAAACATTTTCACTACATTTTTTCAATTCAGAGTCAGAGATTCTTTATTGTCAATTGTATGTCAAGCTGACGTACTTATATCCACACTCATTTTACAGTGTAGCCCTTTTTACTATCATGTTAGTAACATTCATGTTGTGCCTTTTCCCAATTCATCAGCCAAGTCAGCAAATCCCATGGACAATCCCTAGGGGTCATCTTTTCATCAGACAGCAATAATATTTCCTGTGTTAATGTTGTCCAAAGCACCACATACAAGAATAATCCATCTTGTCCACCTAAGCGATTAAGGAAGCTGCTGGGAGGCAGAATTTTCAAGTAAATACTTTTGCATGTCTTATTTTGATACAATTAAGAGGGTTTCTTATGTTAGCCACAGGCTGTAATTTTAACTTTTAATACATATAAAGCAATGTCACAATGCCATTAAATAGGGAGGGAAAAATAAACTTTAATTCAGTTTTATGTTTTAAATTTTATAAATGAAGGGGACATTTCACTTAATCAGTGCAGCCTATCCTCATTCACCACATTGGTTTGTAAATGATTTTATTTAAATTCATTGCTGAGTAGATGTCTTTGTTTAATATTCATCTCTCTTTGGGAAGATTACATAACTCCTTGTTCAAACCAAGATTATTGCAAAATGTCACACTCTTCAAAGTAGTCACACTGGTCATTCACCACAATGTCATACAATCTGTATTTGTTGCAGTGTTCACAGTGAGAAAACCTTACTTTTATGTATTTTATTTTATTATTTCTTCTCTGCCATCAGTATACTGCCCTTTAGGGGCTAGATCAACAAGTTTAAATCAAAACTAAAGTGAAAACACAGTCACACACAATAGTCCGCTTTGGCGGTTCCACTTTAAAAGTTGAAGAGATTCAGTATTCAATTATATTTTAAAGTTTTTCCAATTAGCCTGTGCTTTCTTTTGATAGGTGCCATGTTAAGGTCAATTTAGACTTCACAAATTGGACGTTTGTTTAATTCATTTGCTACGGCACAGTCATTTTTCTCACTTGCAGCAGAACAAATGAGGACTAATGTGGTCTGCCTGCAATCCGTCATAAATTTTGATTTGTGTG